AAAGCGATTCGATATGTACAAAAATAAAATCATGGACTGACTCATTCTAAAGGAAGCGATGTTCCAAAAGCTTGATTAGACTGACATTTTTTACCACATTATTTTCCTCCATTGTATGAATATCACAGCAATCTTCCGATGTAACAAGCCATTATGCACGAAACGCTCATCAAACGCGAAATGGGCTTGCATCCTTTTCCTGAAGATATGGTGATTAAATCATGTATAATGCATGTGCACCACAATGATATCCATAATGAGCACAGAGGCATAGTTCTCTGTGGAGGACGGATAATGATGGAGATGAGACTGGAGTTCAACCAGTGAGGTCGCCATGGTAATGAAGGAGTAGCTGGTGCAGACCAGACTGTTGACCAGTTTGAACTGGCAGGGCTAAACTGTGGGCTGACTAACCTTTATCCCACAAACTGATAAGACTCAGCAGAGGGCACAAGGCTGTATGGGAGGGAGGGAGGGGGGAGGGGAGGGATAATGACAGGGAGAGAGAGCGAGAGAGGGAGGATGGTCTGAGAGCGATAATAACTATGTTTACGTCCACACAAGAAACCAGGTTATTGTGAGAAATCAGGTTAAGACTGACAATACAATTACATACATGCATGTAATTCCTGCTAAATGCAGCTGGTCAGAAACTTTTCTTTTAAACACATCAACCATATTTGTGAGCAAGCTTGACCAATTGGATGAATATATAATTTTTTTGGGTCAATATTTGTCATTTTGCTAATTTAATGGTGTGCCTATGAAGAATGAGAGCAGCTGCTCAGCAACAGATGTTTAGCGCTGCAGTAGACACACTGAGCCCATAAATGAGTGAGAGGGAAAACAGCTGTAGAACCAGAATATTTTCACATCAAACTCCGTGAACGAAGGGTTTATTTCGGCTAGAGAATATAGGAAATAGAGTCACAAGGTGATTCACAGAGGCTCCAACCAAGACTCTTACTCTGGAGAAGATGAGGACACTGTAGGGACAGGCCAGCAGAAGAGAGCCAGAAGAGTACACACACGCATGTGTGAATATATTGGACATCACCAGTTGTTGGACGGTCTGTTGTCTGTGTTGGGCTGTAATATTTTCAGTGTATGATGGTGATATATGCTGCTGTGGCTGGAAGAGTTTTTAGCATTTGCACTAATGTCACAGTGAGGGGACTGGCTCTGTAGTCAGAGAGCAAACTGTTTTCTTCTTACAGTGTGTATGTGTAATACTGTGTAAGGCTTTCTTAAATCAAGCTAAAATATGCACCTTATATTGTTCTCTTACAGTATATTTCCATACACTGCTTGCTGTGTGAAGCGTTAGTGTTTACTACTGTGTGCATATAAAACAAATACAAATACAGTTTTTATACTCCGAAAGAGAGCCAAGAGAATTGCAGAAAAAACTACTTATCAAGATCCAACAAACCCACTGCTTATTAAATTAAAGGCTCTAAAATCTACTGACTTGGTAAGTCTTGAAATAGTCCACATCTCGCATAAAGTCAAAAATACATTAGTATTAGTACATTAGCAGCAGCCTGAAAGCATCCAAAGGTTGTTTAAAAAGAGGGAAAGCCAACATGAGTGGAATATGCATGTTGAGGAGACAAAAGGTCAGAACTAATGTACAAAACATCGTTGTATATCAGCTGAAGGAGTGTATTTATGGAACAGTTGTAGTGAGGAACAGAAAATGTTATGTAAAAATAAACAAAATAAAAATGTATGACCAGAATGTCGGCACTGACGTCAAAGAGGTTTTGTATTCTAAAAATGGCAGGTGCAATGGCTTCAGCCTACTCCTTTTTCTATCTATTGAAAATATTTAATGCTGCTTCTTGAATGGTTGAACGGCTTTGGAACAGTTCTCTTCTTTTCACATGTGTGAATTATACCAGGAAATAAACTGCAGTTCAGTGATGGAAACTAACATACCCAGCCTTATTTAATCGAATCTTAGATGCAAGGACACACTAAACAAGTAATAATATTTTCTTTCATTGCCCTGTTTGAAGTCTGTCGTGCAGATGTGCTCTTGTAAAAACCCGGTTAGAATCCTGGTTAAGCACAGACATGGCTGACAAATCAGCTTTCTCCAGCAAAAAATAAATAAATAAAAAACCCAGACCCCGCAGACCAAGCAAGCAAGTGGGGGAAGGGAGTTAGAAAAAATGAGAAAGTGAGGGAGAGAGAAAACAGGAGGCAAGACAACAGGAGAGGCAACAACAATGGGGGAGAGAGAGAGAGAGAGAGAGAGAGAGAGAGAGAGAGAGAGAGAGATAGGGATTGAGCAGTAGTTAGAAGATCAGAGAAAAAACAAGCAGAGAAGAGACAGAGTATGTGAAAGTGTGATCACTGAGTGAGGAGACTACAGCTGATCTCCCAGTCTGCACATGAGTGAGGAATTACAATTAATCAAGTGGTTTCATTACTTCCCTCCATTATTATAAGGATAAAGAGGGTCGTCACCTCCAAGCTGCAGCACAGGCTTCATTTTTAAAGCAAATTAAAATTTTCAGCTTTGTGAAACGATGTGCACCATCTTCCTCTGGAGGTTTTTCCTCCTCTCACTCCTTTCCACTCTCTCTGCTTCTCGGAGAACAATACGATCAACATGCATTATTTATTGGAAAGTACATTTGTGTCTGAAAGTACTGCATGCGCAGACGTGTGTGTGCGCGCGTTCGTATCCAGTGTGTATGAGAATGATGCGAATGTGCGATTCAGATTCAAATGAGGGGAGGGTGTGTTCTGCGGGCACAGGTGTACGCCTGTGTGATTTCATCACTTTGCATGCAAATTTCAACCGAGGATAGCCACAGAGACAGAGTGAGGATGGAAGAGGGAGAGAGAGGCGGCAAAGAAGGGATGGAACATGTGCAGGAAATGGATAGAGTAGGAAAGGGAGAGGGAAGAGGAGAAAGATGGTGTGATGACAGAGCTGCAGGCGCTGTGTTTGTACATGCATCTGCAGGCAAATTAATCACAAGATGGTCTTACTCCATTAAAATGCTAATGTAGGAAAATCTAGACATTTCCATATATTTGCAATATATCCCAGAGCCGAAAGAGTGTTATTATGCTAAATGCAGGCTGGCTGCTCGATGCACACCTAATATAACGACAAATCTGACCAAGATAAAGCCAAGATTAAAAGTCTCCTAAGTAGTGAATTAAAGGGCAGACAGATACAAGACATGCTGCTTAAACACTGGGCCTTCATGAAATTAGAAAAGAGAAGATGTTTAATATTTGGTCCCAAAAACGACTTCCTACATCGGCTTCTTATAGTTTAAGTTATTTTACAGCAAAGGTTTGTGTATTTGTCTCACTGGTTTAAAGGTGGACATAAATAATACCTTTACTAAAGATCAGGGGTGCACAGTTAACTTTTTTGTCCACTGGCCAATATTCAAATTTTTACCAGCCACTCGACAGATTTTTTTTTGCTGGTGAATGAAGCAAATCTACCAAACTAAGTTTCCGGTGCTTTAAGTTCTTCATAGAGTTGTTGTCTGAAAATACAATTATGTGGTTTATATGTAACTGGCTAGTACAACACACACCCAGTTGTCATCATTTTGTTGTATTAAAAAAACACCATTTGTTAAAAAAGGTTGTTTTTTTTGGTATAAACTTTACAGAATCAGATGCTATTTGAAGCAAAAAACTCCAATTGAAAAATCTTAATTCATAAATATATTAAGGATTTTCTCTTATTTTGGACCCACGACAGCTATGTGTCGTGATGTTAAGACATAATGCTTTTATGCAGAGCCAGTGCAGCACTTTACAGTGACAGCTCAACTACTGTACTCATAAATGTCTGCGCTCGCTCACTTAGTGTAGTATCCTTGGAGACACATGACTTTGTGTAGATAAATGCAGTACTGTCAATATGTTGTTGATGGTCTACTTGTAGCAGTTCATTTATATTCAGTGGCTGCACACTGATGTGAAATTGGTCTCACAGCTAGAAATATATTGGTACAATGAAAATATAATTGCAATTAATCATGCTGCAGTATTGCACAGCCCATCCAAAACAAATTTCAGCAAAGCAGACCTTATGTATTAATATAAATATCCAGATAAGAGTCATTATTCACCGATAATGCATTCTGAAACTACTCAAGAAAACTGATCATCTTTATTTATTGGTTTCAAGCTTGTGACTAAATGCCAGCTCTCTTGCTTGTTAATGGAAATAAACTCTTGAGCAAATACTACTATTAGGTAAAGTATTTGAAGGAGTACAAGAGAATCAGAGAAGGCAAATTCTTCAGAGCTTTTTCTTTTGGAAGCGGGATGGATAAGGCACCCCAATTAATATTTTCACTTAAAGCTCTTGGGAACCAACTGTGACCTCTGTCTACTCTGAACTCTTGGGGGAAATATGAAAACGATATTTTTGCACTAACATTTCTGTGCCCTGTCAACACATTAGCAAGCAGCACAACACCAGCACTGGCAGGGAGCCTCTCCACAACAGAGGAAAACACAAATGTCAATGTTTTCTGTGACTGCTGCCACGATTATTACGGGAATAATATACTGATATAAATATTCACCACCTTGCAGATTTGTTTTTTCAGCATTTTCACTTTCCCTGGATAGTCTGCCAGTGAAGATATAGTCAGAAATATGTGGAGAGAGAGAGAGGGATGATGTGCGTTCCCTAGCAGTTACTGTATATGGTATGTGTCTTAACCACTAGGCCAACAGGATACTCCACAGCCTTCCATTGTATGGTGTATTCTTACATTTCCAGACATAGAATCCGCTATATTAAGCAGCCATGTAAATTCTGGTTTTGTGAAGCTACGAATAACAAACATACCTTAGTCATAAAGTTTTTTTTTTAAACCACCAAACCATAAACACAAAATGGTGCCATTCTGTTGAAAACTAAAACCAGGTTTATCTTGTGATGAAATGTACTTTACTATCATTCCCCTTAAATCCAAGACCAACTCTCACACGAAGACACTCACACATGCCTTCACCTAGACTGGTTGGCTTGATGAGCTCATCCAGCATGTCGTAGAAGGGCAGCCTCTGGAGCTTGACATCTGGGTGGACCGGGTGCAGCGTGGCCGAGGCGGACAGGTGGTGCGTCAGCCCGGTCAACTCGTGTTTCCCAGGGCCGAGCAGTGAGAGGGGCAATAAGGCAGCGGGCGACGGGGCTCCACCGTGACCGGCGTGACCCTCATATGCCAGCTGTGTCAGGCCAGCGGGCAGTGCGGCGCCCCCACCTCCAACCATTCCAGCTGTAGCTGGGTGGTGCGGCCCGGGCATGGCCAGCTCTGAGTGGGATACCATTTTGGCAGGGAAGCGTCGTCGGTAGAGCTCTTTGATCTTCATGTGCACAGCGGGGCTGCAGCCAGCCTTCAGCAGGTGCAGAGCCTTGGTCAGCAGCTCGTGCTTGCGTCCGTGCTTATTGCGCCCAGCGTAGCCCAGCAGCACCTGCAGCTCCGACACCCGCAGGCTCATCACCATTTGCTGTGATGGGGAACAGGATGAGAGAGAGGAGAAGGAATTAACTCTTGAGATGCAATGCCAATAACAATTTCTCATGACTGTAATAAAGTACCAACCCTTCGACAGTTATTGAAGATATTTTAATTTGTGAACTTTTCAGCACTTTTCCAATAGGTGGCAGAATATAATAAACCACTGTGCTGTGTTTAGGCGTCTGATAAGCCTGACAAACTCTTGAATCTGTTACCAAACGTCCTGGATTATGATAATATTTCATTGTCTCACAGTAACCTGAGGAAACACATCACCTTCAAAACACCCCCTTAGCATAATTGGACGATATGCATCTATATTCTGTGTTTATCTGGCTTGATGCTGGTGTGCTGCCTCTCAGCGATGCCAAATGAAAAAAAAAGCAGAGTCTCTCCTTACGTTGAGATACCTTAGCTCTGCATATCTTTGTCTCACAGGTGTTTTATAAAACACACACACACACACACACACACACACACACACACACACACACACACACACACACACACACACACACACACACACACACACACACACACACACACACACACACACACACACACACACACACACACACACACACACACACACACAAATTCCTAACCTGCATATAACAACCTGCCCAAACACTAGAGACACCACTGACACTGGGAAGCAGTGCACTCGATGCAGTAAGTTTTCATCTGTGCTGGAGTGAGGAAAAAAAACTTTAACCAACAAAGGATTTTCCCTGGCTCAACGTGAGGCTGAGGCAGTACTTCCCGGGGGCTAGTGGGATGGAGAAGCTGCAGCAAGAGCATGAGAAAAAAGTGTTGCCTGCACTGATTTGAGGTTTAGCTTTATGCTGGCTCAAACTACAGTAAGCACTAACAGCTCTTAGTCTAACCACACCAAATGTCCAAATGTATGTGGACTAACTTCAGGTAAAACTATTTCTGTATGTCTTTATGAACTGCAATGATTTTATATCTCTATGCTGTTGTTCATGTGTTGCAGTTTGGTGTTTTTTATGTTAATATGTGTGTGAAATGTGTCCTTGTGAAATAAAGTTAAATTGATTTAGACAGAGAAACGCAACTGCACATATAGTTACTACATGTACGGTGACTAAAAAAAAAAAAAAAGTAGACATCAGAACTCATCATCATGATAAAGGCACTTCTCACATTTAGCTTCAGATGACTGAGGAGACCGAGAAGATCCCTGATGTGAATTTAATCTGCTGAAGTTTTAATGCACTCAATACCTCACCCCCAAAAAAACTGTGATTTGAAAAGAAACCAAGCTGGCCTGGAACAGGAGTATCTGACATATTTCAAGACATTTAATTCAGTCAAATTTCACCAGAATTGAATCATCATTTGCAGGAAAGGCAAAAGGAAGCACAACTTCCTTGTATTAGAATAGGTGAGTGCACAGAGCTGAAAGACTGCAAACAGAGCGGGACAAAACAGGAAAGAGTAACACACAAGCTCTTTATCTTAAAAGGTGGAAGTGGGTGAAAAACAGAATTCAAACGAAACCTAAGCTCATTAACTAGCATCCATCACAAACATCCATTAACTATGTGGACAGTATAGCAAATTATAGCTACGAGACAAACATTAAAGAAAGTCAGTCTTAACTGCATTACACAAGCTATAAACACGGACACAAATGTGTGGAATGTGGGCTGTCTCTCACACACACACACACACACACACACACACACACACACACACACACACACACACACACACACACACACACACACACACACACGTAGACTCCTAAGAATGTCTTGGACAAACCTCCTCCCTTCATCTCCTTTAATGACAGAGCAGGGATAAAAAAACAAACGTTGTTTAAATGACAAAGCACAAAGGCCTGTTAGAGCCCATTGTGTCAGTATCCTAATCAATTATATACACACAGTTGTTATTGTTGTGTACAGGAGAATATGTGTGCTGTAGTGTCCATAAACACACTAAACCTTTAAGCCTTCAAGATTTTATTTTTGTTTCTTATAATGAGGCACACTCTTCTCGGGTAATACCAGGGTTTTGCATTCAATTGACATTTAAAATGACATATATGACTGCTGTGGGCTATGTTCTGTGACCTAACCACAGCAGCGACATTTTACTCTTGAAAAACAAAACCACTAATATGCAGTGATACCACTTTTTCATTGCTGAAACAGATTTAATGTAAACCACCATCCTCATATTCAACACGGATCCCACAACTGTCACATTTGTCTCTTTTAACAGCTGCTCAACTGTTTATAATACTTCACCAGTAGACTAAATTTAAACAAGTTAATGCATTATTATAAGAAAATGCATATCAAATTCAACATACCTCATTTTGGAAAAGCTTTAGTTTTACCTTCTCCTACCGAGCTCTCTTTTGTGATCCTTTTTTACATGAATACAGCCCCTATGTTACTTGATCTCCACTTACTAAGAGGACAGAACTGAAGCTTATTTTACTGCTGTCCTACTTTGCTATAAGTATCGTCTAAATGTAACAAATAAACAGAAAACTCTCACACTACCAAAACTGTTTTCCTTTTTAACATGAGGGGCCCAGGTGTGAATAAAACCTCTCACTCTGGTCCGACCACAGAACAGTACTGTAACATTAAAACTGACGTATTAATGCTACTTTTGAAAGGAACTGAAACCCCCAAAGTGCTGCAGTTTGCTGTAAAACTTGTTCCACTTTTGCATTTCTAGCTTGCAGTGCCTGCAAGTGCAGCAAACCAATATGTGCTTCAAACAACACTAAAAGCAGAGATAGATTACCAACAGGCGACTTTTTTCAGGTCTCTTAACTTGGGAAAGATGCCACCACAGCTTCTTGGCTTTTCAAAAACAATTACAGAATAATGCTGATTGCCAGTAAGAAAGCCATTACAAAACAATGGTTATGTCAAGAATCATCTATTGTAGCAGCAATGAGATGCATGACATCTTTGTGATGGAAAGATTAACAAAAGTTCAGCCAGAGGATACGGTTTTGTGTTGACCAAAGATAAAACAAGATAAAAACAGTAAGAAAAATGTCAGTCTTGGTAGTCTTTTAGCTCTTGTAAGATGTAGGGCTGTACCAAAAGGTACCAATATTTTACATTAATGTAATGTACAGCAATGAAAATAACCCTACATACAACACACAGGCAGAGAGGACATTACAGTAAAATAAGGGATTGTAATGCGTGCAGTGGAGCATTACGAACAACAAGATGGTTCGATGTCCATCACAAGTTCCCAGAGACAAGGTGACGTCTTCAGAGGTTTTGTTTTGTCCAACAGTCCAAAACTCACAGATAATCAGTTTTCTATCACGTTTGAATAAGAAAGTCACCAAATATTCATAATTAAGATGCTGGGACCAGCAGCAGGTTTGCCTTAAAAAAATGTATTAAACAATTAACTAATCGACTTATCGTCTGTTTCAGCTTTGCTTACAAGGTTCCTAAAAGTCCAGTTAATGGGAGGTTCCTCTGTTCCTGCATGGAAAGGACCATTCCAGATAACTTGGGCCCAAACCAAGCACCACGCTGCTCAAAGTGAGCAGAGGCTGCTGTTTACAGACCAAACACAGCATTGTGTACAACTGCCACAAATGCAGAACCAAGCACACACACACACACACACACACACACACACACACACACACACACACACACACACACACACACACACACACACACACACACACACACACACACATACTAACAAAGTGCCCGATGTATACAACATCCACACAGACAATTACCAGTCAGGACATAGACCTGTCCTTGTCCTTTGCCACTACAGACATAGGGTAAAGGCACATTTATGGGAGGAGGGGGAACAAAATAAATCAGCAGGCAGACCCCCATTCGTGAATGTAATTCTGATGCCTTCGGTCTGAACCACACTGCCGTTATAAAAACACATCAGTCAAACACAGCCGGCTCTTACAGCAGGACGAGGACGCTCAATCACAGGTGCAGCATGCAGCCAGCAGCTGTCTTGTCTGTGGATTTTTTAACAGAACAATAATTTTAATAATTCAATAATATTCTGTTTAGAATCCCTACGTGGACAGCGCACACACACACACACACACACACACACACACACACACACACACACACACACACACACACACACACACACACACACACACACACACACACACAGCGTGTTGGTTCGGCCAAGAAACTCTCCTGCTGGTGACATAAATGACCAGTTCCATGAAATATGCATGTGGTAGAAAAGAGGGCTGTGTGAAAAAATGAAGACACTGGCTGCCCACAATTTCTCTCTCACACACACACACACACACACACACACACACACACACACACACACACACACACACACACACACACACACACACACCTTAACACAAACACATGCCAAGCCCCCCCCATTCACTCACTCACTCACACTCTCTCTCTCTTTCTCTCCAAAGCAAACACACACAAAAGAGAGACAGATACACACAAGCACAAACACACACTCTCCTCCGCCACACTGTGGATGTGTAACATTCCTCTGGCTTAAAAAAAAAACAAAAAAAAAGAACGAGGGAAAACAAACAGAGGAGAGAAAACAGTGGAGCGGGAGGTGTTGGAGGAGAGACAGATGAACGGCTCACAGCTCGCTCTGCCTCCTCTTTCCTCTCTGTCAGTCAATCAATCTCCTTCCCAGGACAGGTAGACCTTAAACTCCTCCATTTTCCTGGTCAACAGAGGGGAGCTCTGTTCAACCATCTCACAGATTTATAGTTACACCAAGAGATAATCAGTTTACTATCATAAAGGACTGTATCTAACTGTTACTGTCTTTATCGATTAATCTGTCCTGTACTTGATTAATCAATTATATGTTTGGTCCATAGGTGACGTCCTTACATGTCCTGTTTTGTCCACAACCCAAAGATATTCAGGTTACTGTCATGGAGGGCTAAAGAAACCATAAAATATTCACATTTAAGAAACTAAAATCAGAGAAATTTTATTATTTTTATAAATGGACTCAAAATGATTAAATGATTGTCAAAACTGTTGTCAATTAATAGCTGACAACCAATCAACTAATCATTCAAGCTCTACATTCAACACATGTAAGAAGCAGAAATCTGAGAATTTTGGACATTGTTTCTTAAAAACTGACTCAAAATGATTAATTTATTGTCAAAATTGTTGGTGATTAATTTAACAGTTGACAACAAATTTAACTGTTCAAGCTCTATTATCATATAAGACAAAGAAAAGCTCCGTGTCCTCACGTTTAAGAAGGAGGAATCAGATAATTTTTTGGCACTTTTGATTAAAGATATTACTCAAATGATTATTCAATCAATAAGATAGTTGGCTCCCTAAGAACAGCTATAAAACAAGACATTATTTGCTTATAAATTCAGGTAAAATATGTAGTTGTGCTCCTGCAGTTCATACAGCAGCTGGCTGATGAAACAAATCATCATGACCCTGATCAAAGCCAGTGGAAAACAATGAAATGCTTTAAAGCAATATCAAAGACACATTTTGACATTATAGTGTCACAATATCAATAGCCAATGTGGCAGAAGTTGCCTACTGATCTCCCGAAGACATGAAAGGGAAAATCGTTAACTGAACTAATTAAAAGTGACCCTTTGATTTAATTCTGAAACACAACCGATTCGATGGCACTGAAAATCCAGTTTGCACAAAGCGAGTTTTCGTGAGAATGCGCTCTGTTGTATTGTTCTACTGTAACAACTTGACATGTAGGTGCAAAGGGAAGCTGTAACAAAGGCAGGAGGGTGAAAGAGGCAACACAAAGAGAATAGCTGGTGGTAACATGGGAGTTCTTACACACACACACACACACACACACACACACACACACACACACACACACACACACACACGCAAACACACGCAAACACACACAGCGTGCAGACCAGTGTGGGTTTTTTTAAAGCTGAAGAGGAACGTTATGTCTTGAATTTACCAGCCTGTGACATTTCGTGCCAACAAACAATATATTTAAATGTGTCAATTTGGTGCCAAAGGAAAAGATTCACTGCGTCCACCACAGTGATATTCTCATATGACTGGAAAGGCCCATAAAACAACATTTCAACCAACACATTACACAAAAATCAAAACCCACAAAAACCCAGAATGACAAAATTTCCTCAGGCAAGTAAACAACTGCACCAGAATTCATTTAGACAAAAAAAAAAAAAAAAAAACAGATAAGAACGGTGCATAGAGCAGAAACTATATAATATCAGAAGTGGAAATATGTGACCAACTGGACAATATCTTAAGCTTAAATTTTACACAGTCACATGACTGGAAAGTAATTAAAACATTTCTCACCACACATAATAATTCAAAGACACTTAATGATTACTACAGTCTATATATTTTGGCATACGTTATATGTAAATGTTGGATTAGGGAAATTAGATAATGACAACTCCCTCACTACCACAACTACAACGTACTGTACACACCATATTCTACTTGGTACATCTTATGCTTTGGCAGCATTGGTCCATAAATAAAACTCCTAAAATTAAACCAAGTTTTGAAATTAAAAGAAAAGAAAGAGAGAAGAATTATAACCCAAGCCCTTTTCAACTTTCAGTATTGCAGGAACTGAGGATTGTTATGTGTTATTCACCGCAGGAACCAAGTTTTAGTTTTGGTTTCTGGGTGGTATTACTTGTCCCCCAAAAAGTCCCGGCCAAGGTTGCACTTTCTGTTGGCTCAGGCACAATCCAGGTGCTTAGCCAGTTGCTGACTGGTATAATAAACACAAACCTTGAGTCAGGACTGCCACAGATCCAGCAGAACGGTTATTCACTCTGGTATGAATAGTAGGACTTTGGAAGGGAAGTTTTAATAATGTAACTGAACCTTTTCTAAACACCTTTATGAGAAAGATATAGTAGAGAAACAAGATGCAACAAAAGATATGAACAGGGGACATTGTGGTTTATGGTCAGCATCTTAACCCACAAGTCACATAGGTGCCTCTTAAATTAACTTTCAATAGAGTTTGCTAATTGTCACATGACACAAACTGCCAACAAAGATTTCATAAGGGATTCAAAAGGATTAAAATTCAATAAAAAGCTATCAAACCCCAAACTTTGCTCTACCAGGGGCGTGGTGGAGCTAGACCACATAAGAGATGGACGTCGCATCTCCACTTCTTCCCAATACACACGATTGAAGCCAAAATATCCCGGATACAGCTGCCGCTGCCATCTTATGCTGGTGAGGTGATTCTGAGCCAGAGTCTACGCAGTAGTGATCTGGGGATGGTGCTGCAGTAGCAAAGTCCGGCCCATACACCCGGCGGACTCAAACACGAGCGGGGCTCAGATGTCAATTATGATGTGAAACCCCCTCTTTCATAGCTTCAAATAACTAATTAAAACCAAACTTATCAGAAAAATGAACACCATCAGAGTGATAAAATCAACATAAAATGCCAGAAGCCTTCCTTGGGAAAAGTTAATTTGACATGCAGTTAGATTCTTTTAGTTTGGTTCATGTCCCATCAGCTCACATGGAGGCAGC